TGTGGATTTAGGGGGTTTTTGCCTTATTACCCAGCCTTAGGTGGCTGTAAATTTGCTTCTTGATTTTTAGGGATTAGAAGTATTTTGTTCTTACTTTATTTATCCAAAAAAAAAAACAACAAATTTAGGGACAACTGCACATTGACCCCCTTAATATAACGCTTTTAAAATTATTACTCATGTAGTTCGTTTTTGGCAAAAAGGCACTAAGTGAATATTTGAACCTTGAATTGGAAAGGGGTGTTGTACGCAGCGGAAATTTCGGTAGCACCTCTGGTGCTCGACAAGAGAGTAGATCTTAACTAAATCCCTGTTTCATAAAAAAATAAGAACCAAAAGTAAAATATCTCAACAAAGTGGGATATCAGCTCTTCCTCTCATCAGTTCTAGGACTGACTTGTCGAGGGAACCTGAACTCTCTATTACAAATCACAGCACAAACAATCAATTTTAACGTGGTTCGACAAGTCGCCTACGTCCACGGGGCAAGGAGGGGGGGGGGGATCTACTATTAGAGAAAGAGAATATAAATGGGTTTATAATCACACAAATTAAACCCTCAAACTAACTCTCCAATCTCTTACAAATATCTCCCTCAAAAGGATGCTCAAACCCTCTCAAAATCAGCACAAAACTACACAAAACTCCTCTCTCAAAGTCGGCTGCGTTTTTCTCCTGCGTTCTCCCCTTTTTGCACGCTGCCCAATCTTGCACTTGCACGCAGCCATATTCTCCCCTGCTTTTCTCACCTCCCCAAAAAACCCTAAAAAAGATAGCTATATATATAGCTGCGGGATCAAAGAATCGTGGAAAAACAGTTTGTGGGCCACCAATGAAATCTTTTCACGCGGTTTGCTACCGCGTTCGTGGATGTGTGGCCCCCACAAGAACCACGCATTCATAATTCTCCATCTCGATGAAGTTTTCTCAAATTGAGCCGACACTAACCAAACCAAATGTCTCACTTGCTGCGTCCAGTACGAAGTGAAAAAATTCATGATAATGGACTCAATCCACAACAAGTCGAGAACCCAAATGAGAATACGAACAAACTCTAAACGTCGGTATCTACTCATCAAATCGGCTGCATCATAAAGACTGCCTACGTATCCTCTTACCCAAGGAATCAAGCCTCACGTAGTTCACCCAAATGGCCGCGAACGACCTCAATCCAATAGAAGAGTTTGCAATCCTCCTCCAATATCATCAACTCTGCGGCTGATAGCACCTCCAATGGCCTCAAAGTATAACGAATTAAATACCTCCACCTGAGGTGAACCAATGGCCATATCCAAACTACTTCTCAAAACCCAATTCACCATCTGTATCCAAAACCACTTTATCCCCAAACTGTGTCACCTTAGCTGGAATCCTAAACAATACAGAATGATCTGCAGCATGTGGAGTAATCTTCACCCAATGTGAAGTAGTATCACTCTCCACCTGCTGTGATATCTCTATGATCTGTCCAAAACTCTCCACCTGCTGAGAGTCAATAGGCTCTCTCATCGAAGCCTCATCCAATGTGACATTACCAGACCAAATATCCAATTGAGTTTTACCTCCAATCACAGCAGTTGACAACTCTTTAATAGGATGATCCAAATATGTCGAAACCTTAGTCTAGAAACTTTTTTGCAGACCATTGCTTGACAACAAACACCGATCCTTCTCCAACAAGACATGGTTCTCCAAATTTACGACCCTATCTATTTGCCCCAAAATTTCCTTTCCAACGAAGTGTCTCGAAATGCCGTGAGCTCGTCTCCAATACAGAAACAGGTCCATCTTGTACCTCCTACGAAAACCTGAATGAAGTACCTTCACCTTTCTGCCAATCTCACATTTCTTCAATCTGTTAGAGACTACTAGGACTTTATCCAAAGAGGATTTGGTTGCAACCCAAACACACCTAGAACAACCACAAACAAAGAAAACCAAAAATCTATTTCCTCCCAATGATGCCTCCTTGGAAGGCCCCCCAAACATCCATGTGAACCCCATCTGAAAGACACTCCGTGCGGTGAATAGAGGTGTCAAACTTTACCTTGGTCTTCTTGCTCACATCAAAGTGTTTACTGGATTTCAAATTGCTGGTCGTTGCACCCATCTCCAAATCAACACTGGAATGACAAAGCCCCAAATGCCGTAGTCTAGTCGAATCAACAGAAGTCGCCAGCGCTCCACCTGTCATTGTATCTCCAATCAAATATACATGTTATTCCTCCTGACATCCTTCATCACAATCAAAGAGTCTTCCATGATCTCGAGAACCATGTCCTCAACACGAACCTTCAGACCTTCTCCAACAAAAGCGCAAATTGAGATCAAGTTCTTCCTCAAGGAAGGAACATATCTCACATCATATAACTCCCTAACAGTCCGATCAAATATCTTGATGCGAATTCTTCCTATCCCAAGGATCTGGCATGCACAGTTGTCTCCCATGTACACTACACCACTATCCAGCTTCTCAAAACTGGAGAACCATTCCCTTCTAGGACACACATGATAGGTCGCACCACTATCCAACATCCACTCGGATTCTTCCGAATAGCTACATGTAGGACTGATAGAAAGCGAATAAATAGAAGTATCAGAAATATTACCATCCAATATAACGATATTTGCTTCTGATGATGGTTGCTTGCCTTTTCCCTTCTGCTTATTCTTCATCCATTTGTTGAGCTTTGGATAATCTTTCTTCCAATGACCAGTCTCCTTATACCAAGCACACTAATATTTTCCAACTGTAGGATTGTAAAACCCCGTATTTTTATTAGAAGTATATGTGAATTATTAGTGATAGATAATTCTATTATGGTAAATGACTTGAGGTCATAGATATACTTGATAACAAGTTATCAGATATGTATGAGTGTATTTTTATAGAGTTTTGTGCATTGGTTTTGGCAAATTAGCAAAACATGCATGAATCTAGAAAACGCCGGCTTAGTCGACTCATGAGTCGACCTATGAGTCGACTTACGAGCAGATTTCGAGATTTTTCAGTTGCGGGTTTGGGTGAGTTTTCTTTCGGGTTTTAACCATATTATATATATATATATATATATTACCCCAAATCAACCCCAAACCCATCAGAATCCCAGAGAAACCCTATCCCCTCTCTCCCCTCAAACCTTAGTTTGTTTTTGGTGATTTTTGGGGGATTTTCGGAGGATTTCAGCGGGTTTTGGCGAGGTGCAGCGAAGGGAATCATCCTCTCTCGGATTCAGGAGTTGTTCTAGCATACCAGAGGCGAGTAATATCTTACCCAGCCCTTACCCACTATTTGTATAGTTTTCTTTGAGATTTATTTTGAATTCTTGAGCCTAAAATGTATTTTTGTGCATAAAGATAAATGCTTTATATTATGAGTTGCAAGATCTACATTTTCAGTTTAATAAAAACTCACTAACGTTTTTGTAATGTAGATCCAGATCTGGAGTTAGTTTTAAACATGTGTTTCTTTGTGATTTCTTTGTTTTTAAACGTTTTTAAACATGGATAAATATGTTTAGGGTTTTAATGTAAGTTATTACATGCAAATCTTTCGTTTCTGTTGGTACACATGTGTTAGAATCGGAAATATTTTGTTGGACATGATGAAGAAGAACTTTAGATTTAAAATTTTCATATAAATCATCGTATGCAGAAAAAACTAGGAATTTTCTGCTCAGTCGACAAACGAGTCGACTTATCAGTCGACTGATGAGTCGACCAATGAGTCGACTGACGGGAAAATTTATAGTTTTATGTTTTGTTCTGGTCGACCAATGAGTCGACCAATCCCAGTCGACTCACGAGTTGACTGATGAGGAATTTTCTAGCTTCCTTGGTTTGGATCTGTTTGGGTTGTTTCAGTTTAACTGAACCTGTTTATGCTTGTTTATTGTTGTTGCGTGCTTTAATATAAATTAGGAGTCGCCTCGAATAACGGGTAATAGAAATTATTTTTAACCTGTATCTTTACATGTGAGATGACATGCGGACATGAGTTTAGGTTTGCACACCGAGACACGTGAGAAATTAGGGTATATGCATCTGTTCATATATTTCATCTAGTCCATGTGTTAGACAATTATGATGTGTAGTCCATGTGTTGAACATTTATCACATTCAGTCTATGTGTTGGACAATTTTTATATGCAGTCCATGTGTTGGATATCCACTACATCTAGTTTTAGTCCATGTGTTGGACATTAGTTTAGACCTTGAGATTGACACTGATACTTGAATAGGATGGACATGACACTTATGTGAGTTACGACATGACACCGGATTTAAGTTCTGAGATGGATTTTTCTTCTTTTATTATTGTTCCTGTATTAAATTTCGGGTTTGGTATTTAGGGATTTACAGTTTGAGATACAAGGTATATACATGAGGGTTTCCTTGTTTGGATTATTTCGCTCGACGTACCTATGCTCGTGTTGTAATTTCCTAACTACTAAAACCCTCTTATCATTAGGGATCTACAATTTGAGCTACAAGGTATATACATGAGGGTTTCCTTGTTTGGATTATTTCGTTCGACGTACTTAAGCTCATGTTGTAAGTTTCTAAATAGGATCAGTGATTTTATATATATATATGTATTTCTTTCCCTTGGGGTTGGTTGTGATGTTGCTCGCTAGCGCTTTGATGCTTGTTATCCCTCCCCCTTTCAGGTAACGAGCCATGAGCCCGGAGAGTCGCAGGTTGATGGCGATGCACTTTAGCTTCAGCTATCTGTTTTACTTATATTTTTCTTTTGAGCTCCACTATAGACTTCTGTTTAGACATTTGAGGATTTTATTTCTAGAAGTTGTAAACGATGTGTGCGTTATTTCCTCTTATTCAGACATTTTGTATTTGAGACTTGTTGAGAACTCCAGTTCATTTATTTCAGACATTGACTTGTACTTCAATATGTTAGCTGATGAAATATTAATTTGATCTCTATTATTTCATCAGTTGATTCTAGTATTATCTTTTACTTGCTTTTGTACCTACACCTATTGTAGGCTGTCTAAAAATAATAATAGATAGCTGATTCCCCGTCAATCACCCATCATGGAAATTATAATCTGACGACTTCTAGAAGGCTACGACTTGAAGACTTTCATACATCAAGGAGCTAAAGCAAAGATTACAAAACGACGATCTGTAGCAACGCTCTGACAGTAAGAGATTACAAATCGACGGTCTCTTCAAACCAAGACGTGGAAGTCCTCCCTACGTACCATCGTCAAGGCACAATGCCAATTCAATCGCCTACGCAGCCTCAACCGCTGCAAACACAAACGCAGCTTCTTATGTGAGATGATTGATCTTGATGGTTGCGACAACAACATGACTAACATCATATTAGCAACTATTAGAGATGCTGATGAGCGGTGTGATGATTTTAGAAAAGCAGGAAGATCTAGAGAAATGTGGGCAAATATTCAACATACTGAGAAGTACAAAGTCATGCAAAGAGATAGAGCGTTATTGAGATGCCTCAATTGTCACAAATGGCCTGAATAGGACCTTCTCGAATGATCATTGGTGTCATCCATATATAAAGACAGAAAAAGGCAGCCACAACTTTACTGTTCGCAGTTCAACCGCTGCCCAACGCAGCTCTATACCGCTGCCAGACGCAGCTTCAATCATCACCAAACGCAGCTCCATTGCTGCCCAACACAGTTTATCAACTGCTGCCAAACGCAGCTCCATCGCTGCCCAACGCAGCTTATCAACCGCTGTCCAACGTAGCTTATCAACCGCCGCCCAACGCAGCTAATCATCGCTGCCTGACGCAGCTCCAATCGTTGCTCGGACGTAGTTCTAACCGACGTTGAACGCAGTTCTATACTGCTACCAAACGCACCTTCAACACAGCTCAATATCGCTGTAGAACGCACCTCTAAAGGCCGCGTTCGAACATAGATCCGATCATATTTCCCAGAATCAGAGAAAGAGAATCAACTCTTTACACAGTCTGGGGAATCAACATCCACGGAGGAACTCCAAACCGTCGATACTTGGCTTATTAACCGAATCATTTTCGGTTCGAACAACTCTAATACTGTCATTAGAGTTTGTTGCTTATTCTGAATCATAAAACTCGTCAAGAGTTATCAACAAGACAAGACCGTTGTTCCAGTGAGTATAGATATTCGGATCGTCAACGAGAAGCAAACTCGATGCAAGCATTCGAGGGAGGCATCTCATCGCTACCAAGAAAAAACCAGAATTAAACAAAGGAGAGAAGCCCGATCATTCTCTTCTCTTTTGTAATCAGGAATTCAAATTGTAATCGAGAGTTGAGAGAATTGTAATCATTCTTTTTCTAAGCAGTTAGAGAGAATAAAATCAAGTACAGTTCTTTTCTTATTTTCTTGTTACAAAATTTCCACCAAACAAAAGATGGCGACTCCGCTGGGGACTAGCTTCTCTGAAGAAGAAGTGGTAGCGCAATCCGACGTTCACCTCACTAGAACCACGGTCGAAACTCTTGTCGTGGAATTTGACCAAGCCAAGTACGAGGAGGCCCTCTCCTCTGGATCGCTTAGCCCTAAAGCTAGGCAAGATGCCTCTAAGAGCTTTAAAGAGGTCTTAACTGCTGTTGAAACACCGAAGAAAGCCCTCTCCTTCGGCAAAAGCCTCAAACTTGCTCTACAAGTTGAAGATTCCACGCCCATTTCGACACGGCGTATATTGGGATGCAAGAGGCCTATGACAGAGAAAGGCTCAATCAATTCCGACGACGCTGCAGCTAAGGCTTTGAAACAAGCCAAGAAAAACGCCGCTCGAAGACGGAGAAGATCCATCAGACGAGCATATCTCCGTGAAAATCAATCCCTGGCCCAACGCAAGGACTGTGTTTCCGAAACTCTGCCCAAGCAATGTGTTCATACTCCAGAACGCACCCTTCGAGGTAATGAATCCAATTATAAACCTCGGGTGATTCAATTTAAACGCGACCCTCAATGGTGCGTTGTCCAATCAAAACACAGCCCTGCTAAGGTAAAACAGGCACCTCAGGAGTGCGTCCAAACAAAACAAGACCCTAAGAGGTCTGTTTCATCAACTAAACGCAGGCCAAGGCCTGGTGTTTATGGATCACAACGCGACCCTTGCACTTCGACCTCCGAGTGCGATGTGGTTCGCCAAGTTCAAGAGAATCGACGTGGGTTTAAGATTCACGTCCGACAAGAACCAGTTTTACCCACTCAAGGATAGGGGGTCTCATCCCCGAAGAAGAATTATCCTCAAGTCTCTGATTTGCGAGAATTACTCTCCAGAGAAAAGCCAATGCAGCAGGCGAATCATTCTTGCCATTGTGAGAGGATTATTTCAGCAGTTCTCTCTGAGTGTCAATGTTGCGCACCTAAACCCCGACAGTTGGTGTTCGACAGATTGGCGGATGTCGGGAGACCTACCAAGAAATGACGTCGCCATAAGAAAAAAGATTCTGAGACCGAATACCCTCAGGTCACCATCAACATGACTGGCAGAGGGAAAGCCTCGTATCCTAGTTCTGATGAATCAGAAAGGAGTCATTCCCCGACTGTTCGGGAAATATGTGACGAGTTCGAAGGAGTATATCGACGTACTCGGTCCCGGACAGGAGCTATCCGCCCAGTAGACTATCGAAAGCTGGCCAAAGGAATTACTACAAGTGATGGACACTCGGCAATAGCTGAATCTCAATCTTCAAGCTCTGTTGGAGCACAAAAAGTTTCTGTTTACATGACGACGAATCCCGAGGACATAGCTAAGAGAGTGGATGAACATCATACCATGCTTCAGGCACAACAGGAGACACTTCTCCAATTGAAAGATATGTTCGCCCAATTTCTCGCTGAAAAAGGGCAAAAACCCGAGTCTTCCCGGAGGACTACGTCAAAAGGAAAGCAGAAGGTGCACGAACACTCAGATCGTGAGACTCACAACTTGGATTCTTCTTCTGACAATGAGAAGGAGATGGAAAAGGAGCCGCATCCTCAGTCAACCAAAGTCGACGAGCTAGAAGCCCGCCTTAACGCAATGGCTAACAGAAGCGAGCTTCGCGAGGAAGGAGTGATACGGCCTTACCCTGCCGAGTGGGATACAGCTCCTTATCCGCCAAAGTTTAAGGCTCCAACATTACAACCTTTTGATGGTACAGGATATCCAAACCAGCACATCTACTACTTCAAGTCACAGACCGGAGATGTAGTAGCAAATGATGCCATCCTGACACGCTTGTTCATCGGCACCCTTAAAGGAGTGGTCTTTGAATGGTTCATGAAACTGCCTGCTGGATCTATCCAAAAATGGGTAGATCTGGAAAGGCTGTTCTTAGCCAGATTCTTCGAAGATGATACAGAAGTCTCAGTCCCAACCCTTCTCGCCACTAAGCAAAAGAAGGGAGAATCTATTAAAACCTATGTTGAAAGGTTCCGCAGCATGGCATTGCGATGCCCATCAGGTATGACTCAATCAACTTTGGTTAAAACTTGCAGGCACAACTTGCAGACGCAGCTCCTCGCTCAGATGGGGGTAGCAGAATGTCGCTCCTGGAGACAATTGGTTTCGCAAGGAGAGCAAGCTGAAGAGATTGTTGCTCGGATCAAAGCTGAAGAAGAGCCACAACCCAAGCCGCAGCAGCAACGCAATCAGAATAACGCCCAGCGGTCTAAGGGAAAAGAGACTTTGGCAGCTGACTACACGCAAGTACCACCACCTACTAAGCAGGGCAAGACGCCCAATCAGCAAAGAGCACCTAAGCAGTATTCATTCAAAGAAGAGCATGTGGACACTCTGTTCCAACTACTTCGGAAGAACAATAAATTGCAGCTCCTTGAAATCAGAAAACCAGATGAAGCAGGTAAAGTAGATGACCCTAATTACCGTCGCTATCATAGGTTCTTGGGACATCCTACCAGAAAGTGCTATGTCTTCAAAGACATCTTGCAAAATCTGGTAAACGCAAATGTGCTCACCCTGAAGCCCGAACAGAAGACTGTATCCACCAACCTGATTGCGGTCCAGTTCGGTGACTTCCCTCCTGTAGCTACTGCAGATGGTGTCATTCCCGTCCATAAAGGGGAAATGCACTTAAAGAACACCGACTTACACAACCAGAAGGACAGGGGGTTGGTCCCTCTCACTATCTCAAAAGGTAAAATTATGTGGGTCCATCCTGACCTAATCGAAGATCAGCAATGGACAAATACCTCGATCAAGAAGAAAAGAGGCAAGGCCAAGTCATCCAACATGATTAGCCCCTCTGTTAGTGAGAATAATGACCATCTTAAACCTCTCACCGACTCAGAAGAAGAGAGGATTGTTTTATCAGCATACCCCGAAGGCAACCCTGGCACTCGGTCAGGGAAAGCTTACTTAAGAGACTACGGCCAGAATGCTCAAGAAGCTGAAGAACAGCCCCTAGACGCTGGGGGTTCTGTACCAAAGAAGCCTGCTGACAAAGGGAAGCAAAAAGATCTCCGGTTCAACAAAAATCTTCACCCTGGCGAAACAAGCGCTCCTTACCAATTCAATGTGATGGCGCAGTTGGCCAACATACCTGCCAGGATCACCCTTTATGAGCTCTTGAAGTTGTCTAAAACCACCAGAGAAGCTCTGATTGAAGCTTTGAAAAACACAGAGAGTTTCATCACCCAGGTTACTCCGATTCATGAAGCATCTGAAGATCAGTTCTGTCTGCAGTGTTCACAAGCAGCCAGAAGCCTACCCTGCATATCATTCACTCAGGAAGATATGCAGGTGAAACATAAACATGACAAACCCCTGTACTACACAGGATACATTGGGTCATCAGAAATCAGCCGCGTTCAAGTCGATCCAGGCTCGGCACTCAGCATCATGCCGTATAGAGTTATGCAAGTTTTGGGGATTCCTATGCATCGGTTGCATGCTACCCAAACTACCATCTTCGGATTTAATGCTAACAGCACTCGACCTATGGGAAAGATCAAACTCAGATGCCAGATCGGAGATCTCAGATCCGAAGTAGCTTGCTACATCATAGATGCGGACACGTCTTATAACCTGTTATTAGGGCGACCATGGATCCATGCGAATCACATTGTCCCATCTACACTGCATCAAGTCATGAAATATGTCAACGATGAAGATGAAGTTCGAACCCTGATTGCGGAGAAATACCCCTTTAGAGGAGTGGAAAACTTCCATACCGATTCAGTCTTCTACTCGGAATCACAAGAGAAAGAAGATATCGACAGCGGTAATGAAGCGGATGTCGAACCAGACCCGGAAGGGAATTGTCCCTGGGAGTTGAACTTTAATGTAATTGGTCCAGTCGAGAATAATAATAATGTACCGAGTGAGGGCGAGTGGTGCATTAATGAAGATTTTATTTTGGCGTACTTATCGGATGAATCTTTTAAAGTTGGACAAATAGAGAATGATCATAATGCAGGTACCAGCTCATGGCATACATTGCGTGCAGAAGCATGCCTCACATTGCCAATTAAGTCATCATTCGCTTCCGATGAAGAAGTGGAAGATGCACAAAAGGCTTTCTTCGAAGTCCCGTCTAAAAAGAAAGGGCAAAAGCCGATCCGTCTCGGTAAAATTAAACCTACACCACTTCGACGGGGAAGCTCAGAAGAAGATGATGGAGTTCCTCAATTTCATTACCATGAACCCAATTCTATACATTTAATGAAACGAATGGGGTATAACTTTAATGAGAAACAGGGTTTAAACTTCGGGAAAGGAAGGCGAACACCGATTCGAATGTCTCTCACCCCTGAAGGAAAACCTCCGGACTACTATCAAAAAACCGGAAGAGGCGTGGGTTATGTCACAACTCCGTCAGCCTCGGAAAATGAAATCAGTAACTACCTGCTGTTCGCGGGAAAAGTTGGTGTTTTCTTCATTATCGATGTCATTGCACTCAGTTAACAACTTTACGACGTTAGTGTTGGACCTTTCTTTAAAAACCTAACTGTGAACATGGTTTCAACTAGTCATCCAGATGAAGGAGTAGGAGGTGGCGAAGAGTTAGTCGAATTAATCGACGATCCTTGGATCAAACGTCTTAACATCTTATGGGATATGCGCTTCGAACAACGTGAACCACCCACTGAGGATAAGGTGATCCAGGTCAACATGGGAGATGAATCTAACCCCAAGCCTATCTTTATAGCCGAAGACCTATCATCATCTGAAAAGGAGGACCTTATATCTCTCATCCAAGAATATATAGATGTCTTTGCTTGGAGTTATGAAGATATGCCTGGTCTTGACCCGAAAGTGGCCACTCACCGTCTCAACATCGATCCGGATGCTAAACCCGTTAAACAACAGCAATGCCGGTTTCGTCCAGAGATCATGGAATCAATTGAGTCAGAAGTTAAAAAGCTTATAGACTCGGGCTTTGTTAGGGAAGAGCAACACCCAGATTGGGTGGCCAACATCGTTCCAGTTCCCAAGAAGAACGGTAAAGTCCGAATATGCATTGACTTCCGTGACCTTAACGCAGCTTGTCCGAAAGACGAATTTCCGCTTCCTATCACCGATGTCATGATCGATAACACCTGCGGTTACGAACGAATGTCTTTCATGGATGGATTCTCCGGGTACAATTAGATCAAGATGCACCCGGAAGACGAGAAGCATACTGCTTTTAGAACACCGCTGGGGGTGTATTGTTACACAGTAATGCCCTTCGGCCTGAAGAATGCAGGTGCAACCTATCAACGTGCGATGAGTGCCATCTTCCATCAACACTTACGAAAGAAGATTGAGTGCTACGTTGATGATATAGCAGTAAAAAGCCAACGTAAAGATGACCACCTTACGGATCTGAAGACAATGTTCGAGATCATGCGAGCACATCAACTGAAGATGAATCCGACAAAATCATTTCTCGGAGTTTCGAGCGAAAAATTCCTGGGATTTATCGTTACTTCCAAGGGAATTTCTCTTGATCCAGAGAAAGTGCGTGCCATCCAAGATATGCCACCTCCGAAGAATCTCAAAGAACTCAGAGGCTTGCAAGGCAGGCTGGCCTACATTCGAAGATTCATATCAAATCTTTCAGGGCGTTGCCAACCTTTCTCTAAGCTCATGAAGAAAGGAGTATCTTTTGTCTGGGATGGAGAATGTCAAAAAGCATTCAAGGAGATTAAGGAGTATCTTACCCAACCGCCGGTTCTTGTAGCCCCAATATCAGGAAAGCCGTTCCTGTTGTACGTGAGAGCCATGGAACAT